AATAAAATCCTTATGAGGGCACTGGCAAGTGGTTAGCAAAGCTCATTATGGCAACTTTCTACGTTTAGCTATTAAAGTGATAAAATCAGGATTGAAATGGGAAAAGCTAATTTTGTGCTTTAGGAAAGGCAGCTGTGCAGTCCTGTCCTGGGAAGCCAGGTGAGCTAAGCTGCTTCCCTCCAGAGCAAAGAAGCAGGCAGGTAGGTCTCCCTGGCTCAGCACTGCAGCCCAGGAGCTCTTCTGCTACCAGTGCATCACCCAACTCCTAAAATCCAGTCTGTGATTGATTATGGGTGAGATTCTACTGCCCAGACTGGCTGGGAGCATGGCTGTATTCCCTGAAGGGTACAGTACTGCTCAGCATGGAGGTAGTAGCAGAATCTGGGTGCTTGAAGGAGTTAAAATAATTGTGGTCTGAAAATTCCCACTGATATTCAGATTATTGAGTTGTTTTCTAATTAGTGCTCTATATTGCATGGGCATTAGTGTGGAAGATTTTGTCGGCAGTATCTGTGTCTCATTTGATAGCTTTCAGGATTATTGCATTTCAAGACACTGTATATACCATTACCATTGTTGTCAACCTTTTAGTGTATTGAATATGATTATGAAATGAAATCTACCTCTGTGGCTTTTGTGACATTATTTTCTTCAAATGAATCGAATCCCACCTTTGCCTCATTTCTTTCAGCCCTGCTGTATTTCTGTTCTGTGAAACACCATTAGCATTCTGAATGTCTTGATTCTCTTATCCATCACTTCCCATTTTGGTTTTCTGAAGGTGAAATTTCTCTACTAATTCAAAAAACTTTCCGTGTTAGTTATGTATAAATAACTTTGCTCAAAGACCAAAAATCCTCAACATAAGATAAGATTGAAGCCTAGCCATATTTTATGCCAGAATAGAAGATGCAAGGGTGGGAAAAGGGGTAAGGAAGAAAGAATAACCATGTAATGTTTTACTTCTGGGGTTTTTTTGGAGGGAGGAATTGAAGGTTATTTTCCAGGACAGTGCAAGTCTAACGAGTTAAGAAGTTTTACCTTAAATAATTGTTTTCCTGGATTTTTTAAATACCATCTTCATGCTTTAAATAACCATGTTTCCAAATGAACATAGCAATGGAGGAAAATATCCTATTCTTAACTAGCTTGGAAGGATACCAGGGAATAATTTTTGCACAGCTAACATTTTTCATATTCATGAAATATATTTGCTCAGTGAGCCAGACACTGTACTGTGTGTACTACAGTGGTATATTAGAATTACCCTGATGCCTTTCTTCCCATCTCATGAATTACTTCAGGGATTACTGGCTTGATAAGTGTGACAGTAATAATAAGTGTGTCTGTTTATTTGTAGAACAAGTATCAACTGTTCGTTAATTAGGGAATGGCACTGCTAATTGATGGTTGCTCTCTGTGTTCTATGTGTTCAACAGAATCTTCCTTATTGTTTGTTATTGCTAGGCATAGAGTAAGCTGGACCAGTTCAGAGTTCAGGTCTGTTGGATGCTGGTGTTGGCTTACTGGCAATTAACATGGCTGTGTGGATACCGTAGATTGGACTTTATTTATCATGACACTCCATTTGGGCCACTTCAGGAAGGCTTTACATTTTGCTTAGTATGTAAATTTAAGGTCCCAATTTCTGATAACTGCAGAAATACAAACTGCAATCAAATCTTTGCAGTTAATGACCTTAGTGAATTTGATATAAACAGACTCATGTAACCTTGCTTTCCATCAGCAAAAAAAAATAATTAAATAACCAATATGAGTGAATTCATCACTGAATCTGCAGTATACATGACAACGTGGCAGAGGTTTCATGAGTGGTTCTGTTCCTTATTCAACTAGTTACAAGTTTACTAGATGGGAATTTTCTTGAATCAGTATCTCCTTAGGTGATGATCATGGAAGATGGTGATAACCTTAGATGCAGAGACAATTTGGGAGCAAGAACCACATCTAAATAAAGAGAACAAATGGGGAGATAAAAGGCATATGGAAGTACTGGAAGTGGATTTACTATTTTATCATTGTACCAAATATTGTCCATTACACTTAAATGGAATTTCATTTATAGTATCAGCTAAATGGCTATGATTTCACTAGTTTGGCAGCAGATTCTACCTGTTTTGCTTTTATAGCCTCTGTTCTGCTCTCTTTTTAAAATACAGTGCAGGTATAGGTTGATGTAGTTTAATTTTCTAGCTACCAGAAATGCATTCAGAAGTGGAAAAAATGTAGGATTCCCAGTATTTCTTGATAATAGAAGCTTTGCACATAAATGGTTATCTTTCATGGTATTTATAAAATGCGTGGAGCAAATTATGTCTACAAGTGCTCAAGGACACATTCATATACCCTCTGTTTATCCGTACATTTTGCAATTTAAACATGAATTTATTTTTTTCTGATCACATATAGAACTCTAGGTAATTCCTAGTTTATTTAAGCCAAAGAAACACATCTAATTAAGTGCCTTCACTATTTTTTCATTGGTTGTTTTCCATATTAGTGTAGATACTTTGCTTTGTAAGAGCAGAGAAGGGGACAGTGGCACATAGAACCATTGAAGTGGAAAAGGCCTCTAAGATCATTGAGTCCAACCATTAACACAACACCGCCAAGTCCACGACTAAATTGTGTCTCCAAGAACCACATCTACATGTTTTTTGAACACTTTGAGGGATGGTGATTGCACCACTTCCCTGAGCGCTCTGTTCCAATACTTGACTACCCTTCCAGTGAAGAAATTTTTCCTAATATCCAATCTAGACCTCCCCAGCACAACTTGAGGCTGACTCCTCTTGTCCTGTCGCTTGTTGACTGGGATAAGAGACTGACCTTGCTACAACCTCCTTTCATGCTCGTTCTATGCAGACCACAGAAGTGGAAACACAGAGAGAGGGAAGTCATACACTGGATGCAAGTTATGCACTTCCTAGGCTGCAAGATAACTTCGGCCAGTTTGCTGCCCTTCAAAGCAGTAGTCTGCTCTTCCCCTCAGTTTTAGTAGCTTGATTAAATCCTGTGGTACTGATACTGATCCTTCCACGCAAGTATTTTCATGGCTGGGCATATGCTGTTGGAAAATGAGCTGGATTAAAGCTAGCTCAGGGAAAAAAAAATAGAAAAACCAGTTAGGTTGGAGTGGCTGGGACAAATGGAAGGATTACTTCATCCTCCATTTCTGCTCATGTATATGAGCTTCACGTGTTTAGAGACAAGTGTACAGTTTTGATGGTAATATATACTTGCTGTGAAATTTAACAAAGTAACACAGTTGTGAATATTAAGACAGTGTATTAATATACAGCAGTGATTGGCTATGTGATCTTGGGTCAGCTTCAAATTGGATATTACCAGAAACCAGCTCTTGTACTTGCTTCCCACCCCTCAGATAGGTTTTGTGCAATCTGCTAACATTAGCTCATTTTTACTTTCAAAGCACTGTAGCCTCACCTGTTATGTTGGGTGCAGTTGAGATTTCAGATTGTCAAATTCTCACTGACAGACCGGGTGACCTACCTTTGCACATGGATTGCAACAGTCAACAAAAAAGCAATGAGAAAAATACGTGGTAGAGGACAGTGGGGTCAGTGGTTATATATAGGAAGAGTCGCTCCAAAAATAGAGCAGTATTTGGAGGTGAATAACCTTAGACTATTTCAGGGCTCTTCAAAGAGCTCTCTCCTTTTTCTCTCTGTCTCTCTTTTTTTTCTTTTTTTCTTTCTCTTGGAGATGGAAGAATATTGCTGAATAAGTATTGTCTGACCCCATTTACTTTCTACCTGCCAAATAATGAATACTTGAATCAATTTAAATGTCCTTGTGTGCATATAGTTTATTGCACAGTCTCCTTAATTCATTTGTTTTTCCATTGTGTTATTTTGTATGATGGTTGTACTATGGCAACAAAACTGGATCTTCAGAGGTTCATTGTTCTGTAACAGTTCTGAAAATTAAGTGTCCAGTATATAGAACTATTAACTTAAAAGCTCTTTCTTCCTACATGTGTGCAGTGGAAAATAGTCTCTAAAAAATGAATATCATTCCAGTATTTGATTCATGTCTGAAAGTAATTTTGCAGAATTTTGATTTATCTTGTCCAAAGTACATCTTGTATGTTTTCTGACTCCTTCCTGCTTAAGATACACAGTAGGGCATTTTGAAATGAAGGTGAGTGAAAGTGATATAACCCATAAAAATAGATGAATGGTATTAAGCCATTTGATTCAGACATGTAATCCTGAGCTCTGGTATTCCTTGAGCCTTCACGTTGTTCTTTCACGTAAACATGTTACTGTGGGGCTGAGTTCAGCAGCATTTCACTGCCCATGAAGACGATTGATACAGTATTTGATCAGACCTGCATCCCCTGGGCTGTGTACAGCCTCAGGAGCCTATTGGAGCTTTATGTACCATAACCTCTGCTGGAGGGAAATATTCCTCTCACCTATAGCTGCTGTGGTGCCTCCAGCCTGCAGGTGTCCAGGAACCTGCAGATCACTTTGAGCTCCATCATTCTCATTCTGCACTTCCCTGAGCAACTGCTGCAGATGCAGCACTGGCAGTACAGTTCTTGAGAAAATGGGTGCACTGTCTTATGTCTTCACTTATTCAGGAAAATAATTACTAACCCCTTCAGTAGCCAGATGGAAATTTTGAAACTGTTTATTCCATGCCATAGGACCCATGATGTCATTCAGCTTTCACTGTGCTGAAAACAAAGCCAAAGGCTCCTCTACACGTTCCCCCTCTGCTTTATTGTGTTTGAGATGGAAAGGTAATTGTTCTTGGCAAGGGCAACTGCATTACAGCTGCCTTTGACTTCCAGGTTTTTTTAGTGCCATTGTGGTGGCTAAACATGTGCAGAACACTGTGACACAGTGGGGAAAATGGGATTTCATTTCTTTGAAATTAGAAAAAAATGTGATTCTTTCCCTTTGAAGACAATTGCCAGAAAACCAAATCAATTCTATTTTATTTTTAAGACTTGGAAGGTTTTGATTCTGTAATACCAATTGCTGAGAAGCTTAATCATCCAACTACAACCAGACCAAAAGCTACTGGCAGGCGACCACCCTCCCAGTCTCTCACGTCTGTAAGTTAATTTTCCTTTTCTTTAAAAAATATTTTTTAAAATACCTTTTTTCTGAATTTTTTCCCCCCTCCTCTTTGTGTTCCCTGATGTTTTTAACTACTTTTACACAGCCATTCCTTCACATGTACAATGAGGCAGAGAGATGCAGTTCAGGAAAGTGAGTGTCCAAAGGCTGCCAGTTTTGAATACTGATGTTTAAAACATTCCCTTCCTTCTAAGATTTGTACCCTCTTATTTGGATGCTGCCAAGTATTCCTTGCCAGCCATGACTGAGCCCAGAAAAATCCTTTATAAAAATCTTTGGAATATACTCATTTCTGCTAAGTATTAAGGATTTTGAAAGTGTTTCCCAAAAGACACATTTCCCTTGGTTTCTCTTGAACATTTACCAGATTTTGAGGACAAACAGACCATTTCAGTCTTCAACAGCTCTCCTTGAGCCATCATGTGTTTCTTCTCATTAAGATCACAACTGTAAATATAAGGGTGATTTAAATTTAAACCATACTTTGGAAACCACCGCTTCATTTTTCAGTATCTTTTTCTTGGGGGTTTGGGGTTTGTTCACTTCTTGGTATCTTGGTACAATTGCTTGGTATCATAAATACAGGAACATAAAAGACCAGTAAAAAGGTTTTCCTTCCTATGGGGAAAGGAACAAGGAGTGGAAAGAGCCTTCCCTTTTTGCACCTTTCCAAAGAGGCCATGCACAAGGCAGCCCTGCAGTGCCAGCAGCCTGCACAGGCAACAGCATAGGTGCTCTGGAGAGCAGCAAGGTGAGATGTGTGCTGAGCTGCTCTCCAGGTGGCAGAGCTGCCATCCTCACAGCACTGTGCCCAGTCCTAGCCCAGTAAGGTGCAGCTCTTCGTGTGGATGGGAGGGTGCTTTCATCTTCTGATAAAATGCAATTCAAAGGTCTAAATTAATGTTGGATTCAACTCTCAAGCATATCTTATTTCTTGAATGCTTTGAATCAGTCTAGCCTTGAAAACAAGATGTAATAAAAGGGCAGTAGCTGGAAAGAGTCCTGATTTTAAGTATTGTTATTTTGAAAATGATAGCTAAAACAAATTCTTGTCCAATGTAAATATTCGTGGGTTGTTTTTTTTCTTTTTCTGTTGTGGTGTGTGTTTTCTACATAGTCATCCCTTTCAAGCCCTGATTTCTTTGACTCACCAAGTCCTGAAGACGAGAAGGAGGAACATGCTTCCATTACTCACAAAACTCTTGAAGTGTCGAGGAAGTCAAGGACTGTTACAATATCACAAGTAAGTTAACTGGATTGCCTCTGTTTAACCTTAGCACGTGCATCTTCGTTTTTAAAACAGTACTCGAATATTTAAAGTTTAATTTAACCTGTAACTTAGCCCCTTAAAGAAGCTTAAAATGATAAAGGTAACTAAATATTGTTCTGTGCTTGAAATGCAAGTCTAAAGTGAATTTGCACAGTTAAAATGTCTCCATAACCATACTATGAAAAAAATTCTTTCTAGCGTAAATGCATTTCACAGAATCAGAGAAGCTAAGGAAATAAATTTTAGAAACAAAGACCTTTTTTTTCATCTGTAAATTGAGTTTACATGAGAAGAGTCTGTAAGCAGAGAAAATACAACTCTTAGACCTACTCTAATAGTATGTAAATTTAAATCTGCAAGTATAATCATTTTGATACTGGTGTGATTGTATTCAGTTTATAGGCTTGTGTCATTCTTACAGGATACCATAGCAGAATCAAACCTGACAGAAGGAGGGTGTAGATCAGGCTTTAGAGGTTGGAGCTATATTTTAGTACATAAGGATGCCTTTAATAATACAAATATTGCATTCTGACAGCATAACAAAAGTACTTGACATGATTTCTGTGATCAAGTTATAAGGATAATGTTCTGCTGTGTAGCTCCCTCTTCTGGGAGCTCCTGCATTAAGGAATACTCTTGGACCAACAGTTGTAAGTTATATGCCAAAGCTGTTCCTGTAGAACAAGGTGACTGCTATCAGAAAGGAGCTGCTGGAGGCTTTAACATTGATGGCCAGTTAAGCTCTGGAATAAGATATTCAATAATAATAAGATCAAGGACTCTGACCCTGATAAACAAACTAAACAAACAAACAAAAACTAATTTATAAAATGTTAAAACAACATTACTAAGGTCATGAAGTCAAGTTTCCAAGGCACTGAAGTGATTTGGCTTTCTTGTGATAATAACACCATTTTAATTTCTATGGTTACACTTGGTTTTTTTCTGCAGAACACTTTTGTATTCAGGGCTTGCTCAGGACAGGTTCTGTGCTCACTCATGGCTGTGTAGTGAGGAAGACTGGTTTGTGCAGGACCTGCTCTTCCCTCCCCATTGCACTTTTGCCTAATTTTCATGTGCAATGATAATGACTAATCGTTATATTTATCATTCTTTGACCAAAATTGTCCATGTTCAACTGTTGCACTTTTAACATCACTGAAGGGCAGCTAAATACTTAGCATTGGTTAGAGGTTTGATTTTCATAAAGCTTTCTGCAGACATTAAATGTTACTCTTTTTGCTGCAGGTGTCTGATAATAAAACTTCCTTGCCACCAAAACCTGGAGGTCTGGCTGGTGGCAGCAATGTACAACCATCACTATCCCCTTCACCATCACCTGGATTTCACTCAATTGCTATGGGAACAACAGGCCACAGGTCAAATTCCCCGTCCCTGTTTGGTACTGAAGGAAAGCCAAAGACTGAGCACTTGAGCCAAGGTCAGACTACCCTGGAAGAGCTGAGAACACAAATTAGGGAGCTAAGAACCATCATTGAAACTATGAAAGACCAGCAAAAGTAAGTACTGCAAATCACAACTGCAGGTGGGATGCATCCATTTGTGCATAGAGGTGGCAGATTGTGCTTGAGCTTGCCTTCATGTATGTTACTCTGCACAGTTTGCCTTTGTGAGTGATTTTCATGTAAGAGAACATGTTCAGGGCTGAGAACCTCAGCAAAAAAGACCAGCACTATCCACAGCTTTTTTTTTTTCCCTGTGTTATGATATAGGCAGATGTTTATGGGATGTTAAAGAGTTAAGTGACAAGCTATAAACAGTGAATAAGATTCTTATGTTGTTTTATTTACCAGTAACTATTTGGTAACTCGTGCAATCGATCTCAGTAAAATGGGTGCATTTGTTCTAGTTGTAGTACAAAGTACTACAAGTTCCTAAATTACTAAATCAATTTGTTTGACTATTAACACATTTTCTCTGGAAACTTGTGTTACAAAAGAACTAACTGATTTGTGATTAGGACATTTGAAGACCTTTCTGTTTATGGCTCTGAATCTTACTATTTTAGTTTTGAGCATCTTTATTTTCTTCAGGTTGCTCATTTCTCTTAGGCGAAACTGAGGCTGGCATGTAACTTTTGCTGTTCCTGAGAATATTTAATGCTTTGGAAGCTAAACCTTCACTTACATTGTCAGTCGTGTGTAGCCCAGGCAGGAAAAAGAAAGGGGAAGCAGCATGCAGAGACTGGGGCGGAACAGAGGTGTGCAGAGAGTTTGGGAGAAGATGTGGGAGGGCATGGTTCAAGCTGGATGTAGCCAGCAAACCTGACCCTGCTCCTCTGGTCTCCCCAGCCCTTCTTGCAAGGGCAACTTCCACCTACTGGTTTCTGTCGTAAGGTGAGATCACTCAGTGGGAACATGAGTAGGTGTCTGCTCCTTATAGATATATTCCCCTTGGCAACAAAGAAGAATGACAGAAAATCCATATTTGGGATCATTAAGTCTTATAAATGAAGTAGAAGGTTACATTGTATTGCTGGCATAAACAGCTTTTAAATGGCTTAAGTATGTGATAGCATGGGCAGCATTTGTGTTTCCAGTTCCTGTAACCCACCAACAGTCAATCCATCTACATTTTGTATGGGAAAAAAGGCAACTGGGTGCTGCTACAGTGTTGGTACAGCTAGTCCAGAGGAAAGCCTGTGGATATCAGGAGGAGTTTTATTGTTCATTTGCTATGTGGGATGTGGGGGGCTACTGTCCTGTAGAAAGTCTTACTTCTCTGTAGTGTAGCCTGTAGTGTACGAGAATATGATGACTTTAATTAGTTGTTCAGGGGAAAAAAATATCTAGTGAAGTGGGGAAAATATGTCTCCAAGAGATCATCTTTTGTATTTTACAAGTTTAATTGTTTCCATTCCAAGCTTCCTTTGCATTCTTTTAACAGAAAAGAGATTAAACAGTTGCTGTCTGAGTTGGATGAAGAAAAGAAGATCCGTCTACGACTGCAGGTACTTAAATTATTTATACTGTTAGGGATGTATTGGCAGGTTTGATTTAGTCTCAGATATGGGACATAAAACTCTGCTCAGATACTTAGATTCCAGTGAATCAAAAATGACACATTTATGTAAGGGATACACCTGCTCCCTTCATCCCACTGCTAGTCTGTATCATATATATTGCATACTGAATTTTTTCTGAAAAGCCTGATAATAATCTTAAACTTTTTCAGCATGAGTAGACAATTTTTTTTTAAAAAAATTAAACACAATATAAGATTCAAACTATTATATTTTTCAGCCTCGGTTTTAATTGTTTGATTTTGTCAAGATTAGATTGTAATTTCACTGGGCTGTTCCCAGTTTGTAAAGTGCTTGGGAACATGGCAAAGGGTGGCAGAAATGGGGACCATCAATGTCCTAGGACAAGCTCTAGGACTGCCTAAAGTACTTTAGGCTTCCAACCATGTAGGAGCATAGCTTCCAATAACACACAGTTCATGGTCCGCTGAAACTGAAATTATTCAGATAAAAATCAGTGAACATTTTTGGTAGCTGTTACTGACTTAGTCTAGCAGGCAGGATTATTCAAAGGTCTGGATTCTACCTCCAGTGATGGCTTAACATCTTTATACAGAGACCTGCATTGATGGATTTAAAATTATGATCTTAGAGCTGAATGCTTTTACTCCAGTTCAAATGTTGTTATACTGGTAAATGTTCAGATGACAGCCAAGATGTCATTGTTAGCTTTACATGAAGATGAAAGTTAACAAACAGAAGTTGCATCAGTTTTAGAGTGCTCTGGTAGTCACAAAGTAGCACAGCTCTCAGTCCACATATTAAAGAAAACTGCCTTGATGATGGTGCAGTTGAACACTGTGGGTCTGTTTAATAAATCTACTCCCCCTGTCTTAGGGTTTTCAGTGTCTATCAGAGGGGCCAAGTGTACAACTAGGGCAAACGATGGTTTCAGCCACATCCTTTTACCACATAGCTCTACATCCATCAGAGTCTTTAAGGTACCTGAGTGTAGAGGAGAACCACCATCCTTACAGCAGGAACCATCCCTGTAGGAGATGCTGCTAGCTGCTGCTCCTCAGTACCAGTGCTCATTGTCAGCAGTGCAGTTTACTTGTGCTGGCTGTATGTGTAGCAGCTGGTGCATGGACACAGTGCTCATTCTGCAGGTCATTCCAGGCAGAGAGCTGTGTGGCTTGTAAAAGTTGTAATTTAAAGAGATTGAAAGGCCTTGCAGTGCATTCAATGACTATACTTGTCAGGCTCTGAGGGGAGGAAGCTGTGAATGGTCATGTTATGCAGCTGAGGACACCTCAATTTGTGAAATTCGTGGAAGTAAGAGTAGTATAAAACCCATGCTTGACACCTGTGGGCAAGATGGAACATGTGCTTTTCAAGCCACACCAACTCTGATTTCATCACAAATGCCTTCTTTTTTTCTGTTCATTTTCAGATGGAAGTTAATGATATAAAGAAAGCTCTTCAATCAAAGTGAATACTTGATAGGTGGAATGTTGCATTATTCTTCATGACTGAGACTCAAATTTATGCCCCAGCCAAAATAACTTTGTGCCAAATGATTAAAGAATTGCCTCAACATCCCTTTATTTGAAGGATTAGCACAGCAGTCTTTGATAGCACAACAAAAATACCAACAAGGACAAGATTTCCACCCAAAGCCGTGCTGTGCAGCACCAGTTGTGACTGAAATTGATCTTCTTGTGCTAAAGGCTCTCTACTTCAAGATCCTAGGCGAAATGAAAACTCAGGCAGTTTAGTCCATAGTGGTACTATTTTGATGATATTTTTCCATAAATAAAGTGTATTTCAGATTATCTGTTTACAAGCTTTATGATTTTGACTTTTGGTTTTTAATTGTCTTTTGTCACAGATTTTAAAATGTTTGTACTGCATATAGCCAGGAATGAATGTTAATGTTGGGGCTGGAGGGATTATTTTTGCTTCGAGATAGAACAGCCTACTTTTTGTTATGGTTTTAAGTTCTGTTAAATATGCAATTTTATGTCCCCAAATCCCCTACAACTTATTGTGTACAGTAATGTATTTACAAGAAGGAAACAAACCAACAGAAGTCTGGTCTTTGCAATGATTTGTGCCTTTCTTTGCCACACACTGACCGGAGCCGGTTGCGATCCAGGTCTCCCTAATGTAGCTACCACGACGACTCCTGTCCCCGGTGCCCGGCGGAGGTCACTTCTCACTGTACAGCTGCTCAGCCTGTAGAGCCAGGTTTGTGTGAGGTGGCAGGACAAAAGGGCACAGCTGAGAGCAGCTTTGTCTTGAGCAGCTGTGGCTTTTTAGCTTTCCTGGTTTGGATAGGCCTCTCCCTCAACTTGAATGTTCATCTCCGCTTGATTTTCATTAGATGATTTAAACGCCCGCCTCTGTCCCCAATTTTGCACAGAGTGAACAGAATATGCATTATTAAAGCAAAAATAAATAAAAGTAATCTATAAAACGTCAATAAAAAGTTGTATTATTTCATGCACAAGGTTCTCTATCGTGTGACTGTTAATGTGGTATTGTTTGCTACATTATATTGTTCACTTATAGACTGATACAGTTCATATTCCTGTTTTTGCAGCAGGACTTCCTTCTCCACATTTTGTTGAATCTGATGCTTACTTCATTTCTTCCAGTTTCTCTGTTTGCTTTCATCCTTTCAAAATAAGGTCCCTCATTTTTCTGGTTGTGGTTTCATGTGTTCTTAAGTAGCCACGGAGTATCTCTACCTTGTCAGCAAATCTCTGATGAGTTTATACAAAGTGTTTAAATAATGAATATTTTTGCATAGCATGGAGTGAGTGGGTGAGTGATATTGGTGATGTTTCAGAGTGACAAAAAAAAAACCACAAAGGATCTATTTGTCATCTCATCAAATGCCAGAGCTGGCTCCAGCAGCACATCCTGTATCAGTGCTAACCACCCTGCCTGCCAGGAGCTGGGTGAGACGTAGTATGCAGTTGGCTGGTCACATTCACACATGGTTGGCAGAGTTCCCATAATCTTTTTGAAATGCATAGATGTATAAAATACACACTCCACCATACCCGAATCTTGCTTTATGGCTCTCAACTGGCAATACAGAACCTCACTGTTGGGATGATTTTCTCTTCCAAAGCATCTGCTTCTATTGTAACAGTGGTGACTGAGATTGAAAGATTGGATAGTGAAACACGAGAACTTTTTTAAAGTCACAATACATTGCTCAATGTACTCAAACAGAAGCACTAATAAAATATTTTATCACTGAAATGCTCTTATGTAACATTTCTAAATAACTACCTTAAAATATTTTTGTACAAAGAATGAGTCCCACCATAGCTCTCCAGCAATAAATATTTCTACATTGCTTCCATGAGTTTTGTGAAGTTGGTAGCAGGGTTAGGAGAACAGGAGGAAATGAGCGTGTAAGGAATAAGAATTCTGTTTAGGTTTGTAGTCATACATTTGTGATATTTATCCAGGAATTAGCAGCTCTGGTTTCCTAATTGCATCCCTGGAAAGAGATAAAGTATTGTATCTGTGGTAAAGAAAGTAATGCTTCCTCAGCTGTACCTCAGAAATATAAGAGACATCTCAGAAATATTTCCTTTTTTGCAAATGAAAGTCTGAATTTGGAACTGAGTTTCCTTGTATCAGATTACATTCTTTTATCTCCTGTTGAGAGGAGGTAATTTGTCATTTTATAAATCCAAGTCAGAAATCCAACATATCATGCTTTGTAAAAGATGGTCAAATGAGTTTTTGTGAAAATGCTTTGTTTTGCCAGTTGGTTATTCTGGGAGAGGAGAATTTGTAGAAATACAAGCTCTTCTGGCTGCATTTCATTATAGTAATAGAAAGCATTTCACATCACACATGGATTTTTCCTTTTTAAAGAATATCAAATATGCACTAAACATGTGGATGTAAACTGCTGCTTTTAAAAGTGTTTGGGTTTATATTCAAAGGAAAACAGAAAACACTGGTGAGCTACAGAGTGATTTTGTTGTGAAAATGATTAAATATTGTTGTTTGAATAGTTGTGGAAATGACTTTTCATTAACTTGCACACACTGGTCTTGTGGCAGACTTCTGTTTATGTGTAGAAGTCAGGTGTGAAACATCAGGCTCATCTCTTTGGATGATAATACCCAAATTCTTGATTTGCAAAATGTTTATGTTATTAAGAAAATAGTTTTATGTCCTCTTTTTGTTCTTCTTTCAACTCTTAAAGGAGCAAGTATTTCTTAATGTGAGAGCATAGCACTTGGCACTTTTTAAAAGTTCTACATAGAAATAAGATGGTAAATAGTCAAAGTGGGTTTTAAGTTCTTTTACTTAAATTTCATCTTCTGTGGCTTTCTTATTAATTCATTTGTGAATGAGCAAAAGGCTCAGATGAATCTTTTGTTATGCTAAGAGGTCAAAAGACTAAACACAACTTTATGCAGTAAATTTTGTGAGCTACTTTGTGTCTGAAATATCCATGAGTGCCATGGGCCGTGATGGCCGGGACTGAAATTTGTACTTGTGAAGCAAGGTGAGGGAGTGCTGTAAATCACACCAGAAACTCATGCTTTGCTGAAGTTACAGACCTGTTTCACTCGTCTTCTTGTGGAGCTGACACATGTGAGCAGGCCCTGCTCACCCTCCTCACCAGGCTGTCTGCTGCAGGGGCAGATGCCCAAGGCCCATGGCATTACCAGGTTCTCTGCACATCACCCTGTGCGTGGGGTCTGCCCACACAGAAGTAGGTTTGCTTAAGCATTCCTTGGCCATGCCACTGCTGTCCTAAGTGTGCTGTCAGCTCTCATTTTTAGCCTTGGTCTGGGGCTTTTATGCTTCTGTGGTCCTGCCTTGGGAGCAGAGGGCTCTGGTCAGAGGTGCTGCAGTCCATGGATCCTACCAATACCAAGCGCCACAAGCCAAAGAGAGAGTCCAGCTGGGGTGGGGGTGATATGCAGTGCTCCTGCTGCAGGAATGGCCAGTCAGCAGTCTGCGAGGCCAGGAAGAGCTGTGTGGTCTTCAGTGTCTGCTGCTTCTCTGAATAAGGACCCTGGGGCTGGAAACAGGACAGAGGTGCATTGATGAGGAAAATGCGAAGGCCGGTGAGAGAGGGAAAATACCTTTCATCCAGAAGGGCTGTGGTTTGGAAGGCAAGCAGGAATTTTGCTTAAAAGTAGAAACAACCAGCCACTTTACAACTTCTGCAGTAAGGAGGCTTTTCAACTGTGTCGGGGTGGCAGTGCTGCTGGGCAACTGCAATTCCCATAGGCTTTGGCAAGGAGAAGGTCTTCCAAGCACTGATTTCTGTTCATGGCAATCCTTACCTTAGGTGAAAAAGAGCCAGAAGAGGTGGAGCAGAACTCTCCACTAAACATCAAGTACTCGTATCCATGGTTATTAATACCCTTCAGCCAGAAATTAGCTTTTGATTGGCACCTTTGGCCTCAGCTGACTCTTGAGCTGGCCTGGGAATTAGCAGCTGTTTGCATGTGACCCAGCCCATTCACTCCCAGCTTCCTGCAGCTGCTTCCCTCCTGCCCTCCAGCCATTCCCTGCCACTGGAAAATAACCAACTTCCTAAGGTCGTGGGTCCTGAGGGTGAGGGGGTGCCAGCCTCCCTTCCAACTTTCTATTCAGGTAATGAAGGTTATTGGACCCACTTAACACATTGTTTTCTCTTTTATTTAAGATGATTTCCAGTCCCATGCAGACACAAACTTTTACAGGTAGCAAGTGTAAACCACTGGCAGCCTCAGGAAGAGCTGCTGGAGAGACTTTGTGCTGCCACATTCAGGCTTTTCTTGACCCAGCCTTGCAGCCAAATTGCCCCTTGCAGTGCTCACAGTTCCACTATTGGACAGTGTGGGGGTCTGGAGTGCAAACAGCTGAACTAACGAAATGGCTTAATACTCCTGTGAATTTTTATTTAAAGTATTAGAAATTAAATCGCATTTTTAAATGTGTTAGCACCGTAGGATGAAAAATTTAAGATGCAAATTAATTTTGTTGAATTGTCACCCTACAAACTGCAGTCTTAAGTGGATATTAGCAAGATAATTAACTATAATTCTAGACAAATCTCTAGATCTATGGGAGTAATTGTCCTGACACATTTTAAAGGTTACAATAGGGAGGCAGTGCCTACCAATTGCTCTCAGCCTCCTTGGATAAATAAGTTTCAAACTGTCTTATCCTCTTTTTTTTCATGTAGGAAAAGCAACTGGAAAATGTAGATGAGGATAGTCACAGGACAACAAAACTGGCTTTTATCAGTATGATCTTAAAACTTGTAATAAGCTGTTTCTCTTGGGGGAGAAAACTTGAAAATTAGAATGCCAAAAGCAAATTAGCTAAGAATGGGTAGACTTCAAAATCAATTTTGAATATCAGAACATTAAAGAAGTATCTGTTTTCAAAACTCTCTCTGGTAAAGCTCCACTTCACTGAGCCCAGACCTGGCATTTTCATTTGCTATGGGAGATGATTTTCCTCAGTCTGACAATGTCTTCCCTGTGTGCTTCATCCCAGCTAATGAACAGCAAACATGCTTCTGCAAAGGGGCCCATCCAGCTGATTTTCACCTCCTCAGATATCTGCAATCAAGAGTTTGGGATTTTGTGAAAGCACTTCTTGGACTCTTCTTAGAGCTGATGAAAATTAAGCTGGGCAGCTGTCCCTGCTACAGGATGACCCATTACCTGGGTTTACCCCCTTCTGGGGATGGTTTTCATTGCAAAGGGCACAACAAGTAGAGGTGAAATCACAGTTCACACAATCTCTTCACCATGCTCTTTCTCCTAGCACAAAGCACCAAAAAGAGAAGAGCAGTTAAGGCAGGGTAAGTAGAAAAGTAGGTGCACCTGCATGGAAATTGCTGCTGCTAGATAATTTGGCTACTCTGGATTCAAAAAGCCAAATTTACTGAGCCCAGCTGGAAGCACAGATGCAGCTATTTAGCAAATAAAAGCACAAGGCAGAGGGAAATATGATGTCAATTTTGAGACCCCAGCAAAAGCAGTGCTGGCTGGAGAAAGCTAGCTCATTAATGGATGGCATGTCTCTTGTGGGAGGTTCAGGATGTTTGTGCTGTGATTACAC